TGCTTCTTCATGTTGCCGTGGCAATTTGGAGGATTCACTTTGAGAGAAAGGTTGAAGATCTTGGCCGTGATTGGCTGAGGCTGGTTGTTGGGGACATTGCCTTGGGACTTTCATGGGTGGTCTTTCTTGTGTACTCTTGGAGGGAGAAGTATGATTAGTGTTAGATGGGACATGGATTTCATCTATTACAGAATCAGAGACTTAAAATGTTGGCTCAATGGCATCGTTGAATGTAACTGAATGATCTTGTTCTGCTGTTTGATTATGGGCTTTTTAGACCATGTTTAGTGCTGCGTTATTGGATATCGTCGCACCAGATAGTATCGCGTCTTGTGAATTTTAAGTGGTCTGTTCAGCTTTATTCTATAGGATGGTGAGGACTCTATTAAGGTGAAGTGGATACAGAATGCAGATTGGATGTTTGGTTTGAATATTTGCTTGAACTTCCTGTCTTTTGTCGAAGCTTTTTCATGGCTCAAATGATAATTTGAGAAGCCAATGGTTTTTTTCCCATGTCTCGGAGTATATCAAACGACATATGACTAATCGATAAATTGGATAGGATTTTGCTGTTAATGGGATCGAGATTTCGCAGGCTGTGGCTACATCAGACGAAATTTGCTTAGTTTCTTTTCCCTTAAACACTACAAAATTGTGTTCCTATTGCCTGTATGCAGTTGGTTAACTCCATTGTATATTTTGCTTGAAAATAATAACGAAATGTGTGAACTTTTGCTGCAGCTCTTATGCTTTCTTTCTTGGTTGAATGCTGCTTGCTCTTGTGCTGATTGTGAGGTTGATGGATGTTATCTTTGAAGCATTGCCATTTGAAATGCTTGATCAGAGTCTTACTGAATCCTTGAAACCTTAATATTATTGATTGAAACTGTTCTATTATACCCCTCCTCTGGAGTTTGAGAGTTTCATTTTATTTACATTTTTCCAAACTCATTCAAAACCTAGATTTTGATGGTGTTGAACTAGCTATGAGCAAACAAGGTATTTGGTTTGCATGACCTTTTCCACCATCAGAACTTTTGATTATTTACAAGTTTTCGTTTGACTTTTGTGCTGTTCTCTCCTAGCTGAATAAAAACTACATCATAGACAACCTTTTTGGGAAGGAGTAACAAAACAACCCAATGAAGCTTTTCTCCCTCATATTTCATGCTGTTTGTCAACTTCCTACTTAGAAAATAGAAAATCGTATCGATCATGCTCATTTTATGATTACAAATATAAATTCAAATTTTTTGCAACCACAAAAACTCGAGAACTTGCAAGAATTTGCAAAGATGCGACTTTATTAAAAAGCTAAAAACATCAATTTATTCACCAAAAAGAAAAGAGAAATAGAACGGTACCGTAAAACTCTCGAATGGTGAATAGGTCTCACACTGCTAGATCTAACTCTCCTCTAATATTTATTTTTGTCCAATTCTTTTCCGGATGAATTATCTATCATTAATGACTAACGGACTTACTTGAATACAATGGATCCACCAATAAAGAAGTTGAAGAGAAAAGATATTAAAAGATGTCACTTCTGTTCAGCTTCATACTGCCGTGGCAACTATTAGTGCAATATTACAATTATGAATGGTACCCTAGAGGATAGAGAATAGTACCCCAGGGGTATTCATGGGCTGGGCTAGGCCGGCCGGGCTCAGCCCATAAATTTTTTTTTTTGGTAGAGTAAGTTTAAATTTTTATTTAAGTGAGTTATTAGTCGGACTTGATTGAGCTGGGATAAGCTATCAACAGCCCAACCCACGTTACCCACCACTCATTGAGAGGGGCTTGCGGACGGGCCTACTGAACAAGTTTTTCATATATAATTTTATTTAAAAATAATAAATATTTTTTTAACTTAATATTATTATAAATTATATTTTTGAATTAAAAGTAGAGTCAAAATAGACAAAAAATAAATAACGAAGAATTTTATTTATAAATAGGAGAAGAACTCCGTTACAATAGAATGAACACATCATAATTAGATTGACATCTATCCACCTATATATCATTTGCACAATTCTATCCATTAAAACGTGTATGTTTAATACATGAAAAAGAAATGAATAATTATTTATAATATCTAAAATTTTAAAACTTTGAATTTATGTAATGAATGACTCTTTTACATGTTTTGACTGGATTAGGTGGACGGATTCTTGGACCAGGTTTTAACGGACTGTTGCAAACGGGTTATTAGGACGAATAATAGATTTGGGGCAAGTTAAAATCTTCTCTTGAAAGATGTTTGCGCACCGGTGCAAGCGATCCAACTATTAAATCTATCAAGTTTGAGACTTATTTTTTTGAAAGAATTACACTTTAATCTCCTGAAATTTATCGCTTAATTACTCAAACCCTCTTATATTTGAAATATTACATATAAACCCCCTAAAATTTATACGCGCGTAACACTTATNCTTTAATCTCCTGAAATTTATCGCTTAATTACTCAAACCCTCTTATATTTGAAATATTACATATAAACCCCCTAAAATTTATACGCGCATAACACTTAGACTCCATAAATATATCCGTTAATAAATTATATCTAAATCCCCTTGAAGTTTATACGCATATAATACTTAGACTTCTTAAATTTAAAATGTTATATTTAGACCAAAAATATTCTAATCAAAGATAGAATATCAAATATTTTAAATTTTAAAACCAAAATTCATGTTCTATTATATCATTCATTGAAATAAAATAAAAAGTAAAAATTCAATTTTAAAAAAAAAAATTATAATTAGTATACAATTATACTATCTATTGGAATAAGACTAAAAAATCAAACAAGAGGTCTAAGTCATTTTTAATAGAATATGAATTTTACAACCAAAATTCATGTTTTATTATGTCATTTATTTAAATAAAAATATATATTTTTTAAAAAAAAACATAGTTAGTATACAATTATAATATCTATTAAAATAAAACTACAAAAATTAAATAAGGGGTCAAATTGTAATGAATACAATATCTTTTAGCTTCAATTGGGATAGTTTGGAATTTTAATTTGGTCCTTTAAACGATCAAATTAAATTCAATAAATAATATAATTGTATATTAATTACGATTTTTTAAGAAAAATTTGAATTTTTTTTTAATTTATTTCAATAAATGATATAATAGAACATAAATTTTAATTGTAAAATTTAAAATATTTAATATTCTATCTTTGATTAAAGTATTTTTTGTCTAAATATAACATTTTAAACTTAAAGAGTCTAAGTAATATATGTTTACAAACTTTAAGGAGTCTGAATATAATTTATTAATAGATATATTTATAACAAGGGTCTAAGTATTACTCTTATATAAATTTTAAAGAATTTAAATATAATATTTTAAATATCAAAAATTTTGAGCGATTAAATTACAAACATACGGGAGTCTAGGGTAACTCTCCTATTTTTTTAGGCTAAGTAACGAACCTGTGGGCAATTCGGCCATTGACACTAGGGATGACAGTAGATCGAAAAAAAATGGGTATTCATTCAAATTCGTGTCGTTAGGACCAGGGATGGACTATATGTATTGGACGGTAGACGTATACGGTGATACCCGTATAAACCCGTGCAGGAATAAAAGCGGAGATAGACTTATCCCTACCCCCGACCCGTCCCCGTCACCGTTACTTGTTATATATATACATATACAAATATCAGTATGACATTATTAGTTACATCTGTAAATCTTGCATTAATAATTTTATAATTTAAAGTTAAAGTTAACATTAATAGTTCATGTTTCACTGTAGTATAATTTAAAGTTAGCATTAACAGTTGTGATAATTCTATTTAATTATGAAAATATTGTTCATTGTTATTTAAATAAAGTATAGAAGACAGGTTAAGTGCTGTAGAGGGGAGATGTGCAGAGAGAAAAGAATGGAAGTTTAAATTGAGCATAACCCACACAATCATACTCAACATAGGATTTACCTGTTATGCGTAAATGTGATGACCATTTGGATCCAAACAAATTGTTCTGTTATTTGAAAATCTTTTATTTTATAAAAGAACGGGGATTTTTCAGTTTATTTTTGTTTTGCGTATGTTAAAAAACAAATATTTTGAAAAGAAAATCAACCATTAAACTAAAATCATAAAATGGAATTTAGCCTTTCACAAGTTATTTTTACAAGTTATATCCGGCTAGCCTCTTTCAGGTTATTTTTACAAATCATACGACAAATGAAATCATGTTTTCTGGATCAATTGCTGTAGTGCATAAATTCTGAAGGTTTAACATTTGGCATTAGATTACTTGTTTTATTTGATATATTTTATTTTCTGACCTGTTTAGCTCAAATATTTTGGTTCTCTTTCATCCTTCTGAAGTATGACTACTTCGTACTATTTCTGTTTGCCCTTTTCATTTGAAGTTTATCTTCCAAACTTACTTTTGTTACATGGTTAACATGGCATATGCTTCAAGTTATCTTTTTGAATTTTTTGTTTGATCAACGGTATGCTTTCAAGTTTTGTCAATGTATTTTGCGACGAGTCAGTTTTTTGAACTTTGGCCTTTTCATCTGGATCCGAGCTAAATTACTTGTTTAGTTCTTGGTATAGACTGATGAGTAAGGACCAAGCATAGAATCGAGCTTGGAAGTTCTGTTGTTTGACAATTCAATTCTTTAGCCTTTTCTCCCCTACTTTTTGAACTCAAGTCCAGCCAGTTCATATACCCTACATCATGTGGAGCTGGACTAAGAGCGAGGAAGGAAAATTAAAAGGCCTTAGTAGGAGAATACCCTTGAAAGTTACCTGTACTTTTGCTTAGCTGAACATAATTTAACAGGACAATTGAATTCAATTCTCATTAATATTTTTGGGTTTTTAAGCACATATTAGCCACAAAGAACATTGTGGTGCTTGTAAATCACAAATACTATTGCTGTGGATAATAAAATATTTTTGGGTAGAAAATATTTTTCTAGAGGGAAGGATTGCTGCACCTGGACCAACAATTGATACATGGGAACGGGTGTGGTCACAAGGTAAAAGAGAGATGACCAGAGTGAAAAGTCCTTCCACGATTGCACTGTTGCGTCATCCAACCCATTGGTTGATAGAACACTAAATCCTCCATATTCTTCTTCTTCTTAATGCTTCCCCTCATCATGCTAAAAGAACTTGAAAGTCACTGTAGACTTGTCATGCAAAGTCTGGCAGGATCCGAATGAGAAGTAGAAGAATAGGACATATTCAGAGATTCAAAATTTAGCTTAGCAAGCCCATCTGTTTGGACGGCACCACTTTCAGATCACAGTTTCACAACCTGAATGTGAGATAGGCAACCTTGTACGCAAATCTTCTGACTGTAGTGTATTTCCAATTTGTGTTTCTTCTTGGCTGCTTGGGAATGTCACTTGAGTTTAAGAAATCTATGATTGTTTGCCTATCTCTCTGGTGCACTTATCAAACTAACGCTCTTCATGCACCTGTTCTGTCCTTCAGTGCCAGTTGCGTCATCTGATATTGAATATTCTCTAGGGACTCAGGGCAATGGATGCTGTGCCAGTGCAAAACATGTCCTCTACTATAGCTTTGCGGCAGCCGCACAAAGACCAAGGTTCAACTGTTATGACATCTGCATCCGATTCAAAGCCAAAGAAGAAGATATGCTGTGCTTGCCCGGACACCAAAAAGCTGAGAGACGAATGTGTCGTGCAGCATGGTGAAGATTCTTGTTCTAAATGGATCGAGGCTCATCTGAAATGCCTCCGTGCCGAAGGCTTCAAAGTTTAAAAATGATGACAATATTGGACTCGATGAATTGGTGAATAATACAGTCTTTTAGAACAGCCTTTTTAATTTGGGAATATACATACACCAGATGATTCTCATCAACGGTTCATGAATAAACCAAAGGCAGCTTCTGTTGACTCGTGACTGTGGCATGAAAATTTTATGTTTCATTTACTTCTTTATTTGTGATTTTGGGCATTATTCGTCTTTCTAATATTATTACAATGCTGAAATACATTGATGGCTTAAATTTTAGATATTTATGATAATTTCAATTATTTAGCTGGATTGCAGACATTCGTTTCATGCTTGGTCAAGAGATGTACCTTTCCTTTCAAATACCCTTCTGAGTTTTTAAATTGCTTCCTGGTCACCTGTGCTTATGCGCATCCGTGTTGATACCAGAGCTTAGGGATGTAGTCATTTTGCATCATCTATATGATTCAATTTTAGTTACTATGTTGCTGGGACTGTTGGGTGCTTTCCATTACTGTTTACTGGAGTGGTAGTGCTTGTTTTTTGCTTCTTTACTAAACCTAGGTCCTGGGATGCCAATGTAATCTTTAGTAGTTTTTGGAGTCAATAATGAAGGAAAATTTTATCAGACTGTTGGCCAAGTTTACTTTTGGGTTGTCTGGTTTTATAATTGCAGTAGGTCCTGAATTTGCAAGATTTCGGGCAAAAAAGGAGAGAATACAAAGAGCGAGACCACATCTAGAAAGCACAGAATTGTCACTGGTGAGGACAGAAACTGTAGAGTGTGGTGGTGAAACCATCTTTAAATGCAGTGAGCACATGATGGCATGAACTGTATGTGAGCACTGGTTTCTGTTAATCTAGTGGGTGAAATTGCCTCCTGAGATCTTGTTCCTTTAGTCTTTGCAATTACAGTTATTAGAGATAAATGGAAGATCAGTCAGTGCAAAAGTTTGAAGAGGGACAGATGTATGTAGTTTTATTCTGACTGTGGAGAAACTATTTTTGTGATCCGAACTTGGGGTGCCATGGTCGGGACAACTTCAGGATCGTGTCAAGACGTGTATCAGTTATTAACAGATGTAAAGACTAATAAGTGAGACAAACAGCAGATTACATATAAACAGTAGTGTATTTAACCAGAGTCACAGATGTGAGTCGTGACCATTACACAGCTATGAAGGAAACACACACACACACACACTTTTCACTCCACAATCACCATGGCAAGCACCAATACAGATGACATTAACTTATTATTCTTCTCCATCACCACATTATTTTATAACCCAATAAGTTCGCAGTACTACGTGTAATCAATGACCACAGGTGCAAGTGGTGCAAGAGCAGTTCGGACCGCACTTGCACTTGCCATCGTTCTCGTCTGCTGGACCATCCATCACAACCGTCTCGATGTAGCTGCAAAAAAAACATTTATCATCAGCATCACTGGTGTTTCTGGCAAATTTGTTGCCTATCTTACAAAACCAAATCAGTTCTTGGGCAATGAAGGTACATACCTCTTATCAGTCTCAATGACATAGACGTTTCCCTTCTTTCTGCAATTCCATTACATGTGTTTGTCAGAAACAAGCTTGTGTACTACCTCGAATAATTGAAGCTTTACAGCTGATATGAAATTCTTCTCAAACATAGAGGCCATGTTTGAAAGAGATATAGATGACTTTAATTATCATAATCTTGATTCACATGCAGCCATTTTTGCTGCAAAAAAAAGACTTTGGAGATACTAGTAGAATGAGGTTAGCGGAACCGCCCTTGCTGCTGGACGGGTTTGAACCTCCCTCACAGTAATAGTTTCTGACCCAAAAAAAGAAAGACACCACTAGAATGCATAAGAACTATAGAACCACCGTGTCCAACATGACAAGCATATGTTGTTAGTTGAGAAACATGATTTAAACTCACGTTTTTCATGTAAGCAATGGTATACGTTAGAGATTAGTAAATAGAAGTGAGTATAAAAATAACGATAATTTGTAAAAAAAACTCCACCATAATGCACATAGCCATTTAGCAAGAATAGGTACTATACGCAATAATAATAGAACACTTACACGCACTGGCTCTTGTCAGCACAGTTGCAGTCGCCACACTTGTCTGACATGGTGAATACAGAGAGTTTGCTGGAAAAGAGCAGAGAAGTAGAGAAGTTTTTGTAGCTGGTATGAATTGCTATATCTCCAAGCTTTCTCCCTTGGTCTGCTATTTATAGATGGAAGAGGGGGGGGGGGGGCATCTTGGAATGGCGCAAAAGGGTACAGGTCCACCCAAAAAAATGGGTCCCCAATTGGTGTGTAAATGAACCAAACCGACCCGAAATACTATTGTTCTAGTTCAGCTCATTCATTTTCAAAACAGGTTCGTGATCATTTTTATGATGAACTTTAGCTTGTCGTGGCTCGACGTATTTGATAAAATTAACCGAGCTTGAATGTAAATTCTTGTTTAAAGTCAAGTGTGTTCAACATCAAACTCAATTCATTTGAAATGGATTGTAAAATTGATGTTTATCTCGTGATTCATTGCATAAATAAATGAATTACGAATAAACTTTAATCCGAGCTATTTCAAATCATTCCTGAATACCCAATAATACATTTGCCGTCCTAGTCACTGAGAAAAGTCCGAAGGAATCTTCATAATGGATGGGTTGGCCTCATATCACCCTCATCTCTCTTTTTCACAATGACCATTCATAGATATTTCTTCTCACAGTTTGGCAGGGTTATAGCACCCCAACACCACCTCCCCCCGGGGGCGGCCCTCCCTTCCACCAGTTGCAATTTGCCCACATCTCCATCACTGGCATGCTAAGTGCTAGCCAGGTTCGTTTCGAGTGAGACAATTCGACTATCACCCAGTCTATTATTTATCTGATTGGGCCATGTTTTACAAGATTATGTATTTATGTGTATTTATACATGCGCGTGAAATTTTGCGTTATAACATGAGAGTCTTGTGCTTTGTGTTTTATGTTTTATGAATAGGAATAAGATTATCTATCATTCACTTCTCTTAGACCCCACTATAGACGAGAGTCTTGTGTATTTAGTAAGGTTATGTTAAATGGAGAGAAAGACACCCTTAAACTTGGAAATTATTTAAATTTCAAGTGTTACAAAATTAGCAAGCCAATATTGTGTGGTGAAGCATGTCCTTAATAGAAGCAACACATATCCTTAGGATGGTTTAGTAGTTGAGTCTGATCTTTGGTAACTCAGAGATTTTAAGTTCAGTCACTTTTCACATACCCTAAGAGCTAGTCACTCTTGTCTTCCTCCTCCACTTATCATTTATAGTTAGGGTACATGAAAACTGCTTCCCAGAAGCTTCATTTGAAGTAAAAGTCTTGCTCAAGCTGTTGCTTCATTGCAAATCACAAAGTCTTTAGCCCTCTTCCAACTCATCTTTTATACTCTGTTTAGGCAATCAGTGTNGGCTTGTCGTGGCTCGACATATTTGATTAAATTAACCGAGCTCGAATGTAAATTCTTGTTTAAAGTCAAGTGTGCTCAACATCAAACTCAATTCATTTGAAATGGATTGTAAAATTGATGTTTATCTCGCGATTCATTGCATAAATAAATGAATTACGAATAAACTTTAATCCGAGCTATTTCAAATCATTCCTGAATACCCAATAATACATTTGCCATCCTAATCACTGAGAAAAGTCCGAAGGAATCTTCATAATGGATGGGTTGGCCTCATATCACCCTCATCTCTCTTTTAGACAATGACCATTCATAGATATTTCTTCTCACAGTTTGGCAGGGTTATAGCACCCCAACACCACCTCCCCCCCCCCGGGGGGCGGCCCTCCCTTCCACCAGTTGCAATTTGCCCACATCTCCATCACTGGCATGCTAAGTGCTAGCCAGGTTCGTTTCGAGTGAGACAATTCGACTATCACCCAGTCTATTATTTATCTGATTGGGCCATGTTTTACAAGATTATGTATTTATGTGTATTTATACATGCGCGTGAAATTTTGCGTTATAACATGAGAGTCTTGTGCTTTATGTTTTATGTTTTATGAATAGGAATAAGATTATCTATCATTCACTTCTCTTAGACCCCACTATAGACGAGAGTCTTGTGTATTTAGTAAGGTCATGTTAAATGGAGAGAAAGACACCCTTAAACTTGGAAATTATTTAAATTTCAAGTGTTACAAAATTAGCAAGCCAATATTGTGTGGTGAAGCATGTCCTTAATAGAAGCAACACATATCCTTAGGATGATTTAGTGGTTGAGTCTGATCTTTAGTAACTCAAAGATTTTAAGTTTAGTCACTTTTCACACACCCTAAGAGCTAGTCACTCTTGTCTTCCTCCACCACTTATCATTTATAGTTAGGGTACATGAAAACTGCTTCCCAGAAGCTTCATCTGAAGTAAAAGTCTTGCTCAAGCTGTTGCTTCATTGCAAATCCCAAAGTCTTTAGCCCTCTTCCAACTCATCTTTTATACTCTGTTTAGGCAATCAGTGTTCTTGGTTCGAATGATACATGGTTCTTTACAAGAAGCAGAATTTTCTAGACTTACATAGGTCGGAGTGTTTGGCACAAATTTCAAACCAAACTAGGATCGAGATCCTCTATATTACACTTTTACTCAATAATGAACTATCCACCATCATGACAAACTGTCTATTATTTGATAAAATTGAGTGAAAATATAATACAAATAGTATCTCAATCCTTCAAACTAGATGTGACTAAAGAAAATATAGCTGTAAAATCTGTCTTCGGGACCCCTTATGTTGATATGAAATTTATGAAGTAATCCTCACAATCTCAATCATCCCTACTAAAGACTTGTCAAAAGAATTCATCCCTCTTAGCCTAGATTCTAGATCCATCCGTAGTTAGATAACAAATCTGGACCTTTTATCAGGGTAGGCAAACATTTTCAACCTCGTATTTATATTCTCAATCAAAAAGCTTACGCATTATTTCTTGGCACATCAAACCATGCTCATATCCTAGGCGAACCCCA